GCCCGAGGGTTCGGATCCCACATACAGACCGGGTCCCGCTCACTGGCTGAGCGAGGCGCGGGGTCGACACCAAGGGTTGCGATCCCGTTGCCGGTCCCCGGTCCGGTGCGGGGGCAACACTGAGGGTTGCGATCCGTTGCCGGACACGGAAAAAGACAAAAGACAAAAAAAAAAAAAAAAAATCAATGGAGGAAAGATTAGAGGATATTAGTTCTAAGTCTTACCATTTTCCTATTAAGTAACCTAAAGGAAGCCTTTAAAGCCTGTGAACATCATCATTGGTCTCATTTTAAAGATTCGGCATATAAAACTGATGTGGTTTATGGCCCCACAGACCTTTTGATATGGGCTTTTTTTTGCTTTTTTTTTCAGGCTCAAAAAGCAGCAATAATGATGGCCATTCACCCAGGCTAAGTGCTTGAGTATTACAAGGATGACGATTTCAAAGTACCTTTTCTTCTCCCCATACAATTGCACTCGTCAAATAGCTTACGGGAAGCCTAACTGAGGTGATGATAGTAGGTTTCTCCATCATGTGGGGCCCAAGATGTTTTCCTTTGTTTTCAGTTTCTCTCCGGAAGAAAACTATGACTATTTTTTACTGTATGGCAGAACAAACAGAACTGTTTCACAAGTTACTTGGTGGATTTCAAGTACATACTGTCATGTTTTTCATTCTATCACATTTGACTATTAAGATTTTTTCTTCTCTGGTTACATATAATCTTTTCTGTTCTGAGAAGTTATGTTGAGACTCAGCAGGTGGTATGGGGGAACATAGCCTATGCCATAATATGCTTTGGCTTTGAAGTCATCTCTGACTCTTCTCTATTTTATTCCCCATATCTAATTGGTCCTATCAATTCCCCCTCTGAAATTTCCCCAGGACTTATTATTCCTTCCTGTCCATTCCTGTTATTTTCATTTAGGTCTTTTGGTCTTTCTCCTAGACTAAAAATAATAATAATAATAACAGTTCCATTGGTCTTCTAGCCTTCAACCTACACTTCCCTTCAATCCACCCTCCTCCACACTGCCAAAAATTCTCTAAAACTCAAATCTGACCATATCATTTAATGCTACCTTGGTCACAAGGTAAGGTCCAAAAGCATAAACAATCTGGACCCTATGGAGATTTCTAATTACATCTCCTGCCTTATCCTCTGCAGTCCTCCCTCTGCTCCAACTGCCACCACCCTCTCCACCCCAGGAACTTTAGACCTCAGACACTCAGGCTCTGTGTTTCTTAAATACAAAAGGCTGTCTCATGCTTCTGTGCCTTTACCTGTGTTGCTCTCTCTGCCAGGAATGTCTCCTCATTCGACAGTTAGGGAGTAACAAAGCACCCCAGGTAGAAAGACAAGGAGATGAGGGAAAGAAGGGAATCAAAGAGCATTACTAAAACAGCACAGTGCTGGGCTCATATCTGGGCATTCCATAAATACTGAATGAATGAATGAATGAATGAACGCACACACGCATACAGTGTTGACCATGAGGTCCAGGCTGCAGAGGCAGGTAAGTGAGAATAGATGGACTGTGAGAACAGCTTTGAATGTTTTCTTGTTACTCAAACCCGTTTTCTATTTTCCTCCCCCTCCACTTCTTTCAGACCTCCATGTTTATGTTTCTTCTAATTTACAGACTACTATAACACTACCTCAGATGTATTTAACCATGCCATGCATAATTTATTTATTCATTCCTCACAAATCAATCCCTCCAGCCATCTGGAAAACAAGAACCACTTTTACTGCCTTTCAAGCTCCTTCTAACTAATTTTTTTAGTATGTGCTACTGTGCCTAGTACAAAATGTAGCAGTATTGTATGCACAGTTTCACCACCAAATATCAAGGACTTTGTGAACTTTTTTTTCTGTTGTTGTTGTCTTTATTAGGAAATCCCATGTGAAACATTAAATAAGAACAATTAGAAAGCAAAGCAAGAAAATTATATCACTACAGAGTGTAGTTAGTGGACTGATTTTTGTGTGATGGAAAGGAGCCTCATTATTTTATGATCAGACCTTGTAAACCACAAGCAGTAATTCCTCTATAAAGGCTAGTGAAAAATGGTGAGGAACTATTCATATAAAAACACATTCTACAATCACAAACAATGTCAGAAATACTGTTCTGCCTCAGTTTTCTAGTCTATGAAATGGGAATAATGGATAGTCACTTGTCCCAATTATCTACTGAGGGCAACATGAACACACAAAAAGTTCTTTGGTGATATGGATGCTATATGAGACCATTTTCTATTAGAAGCAATGAAGATAACTAAGCTAAACCACTCTGGTTTAGCTAGAAGGCTTAAGTACAGGTAGCCTGTTTAAGTTTATGGATACTCTGACAGACCATGTCACTAGAGCCAGTGATTGATATAACTGACTCACTACGGTTATACTACACATACATGGGGTGATATGTAAACACAGTTCCCTTTTGTAGAAGTAGGCAAATATGAAAACCACTAAATACCAAGCCATGAGTACCTCTCTTTTATGAACTTTATATTCAGGGGCTCTCTCCTACTGTCACTTCCCTGAGGTACCTTCCAAGGCAAATTTCTTGTCATCCTTTTTAACCTGTAGTTTTCATACTGGTACGTTCATCCCTAATCAGTCACTTCCTCAAAGAGGCCTTCACTGACCTTCCTAACTAAAGTGTTATTCCTCGGTTATTTATTGTCATTCAGTTTATTTCCATCCTAGTACTTATCACAATGGGTAATTAACTAGGTAATCTGTCTATTCACTTATTTATTGTCTTCCCCAGCTATATCTAAGTTCCAGGTCAATATTTGTCTTAATCCCACCTCTGTACCCCAGTGCCTACAATGGTGTCTGGTTCACAGCACGTGCTCAAAAGCTATTTGTTAAATGAATGGATAAAGCAGCTTTGTCCTCACAGTGACAGTAAGGTTTATTCAAACTTGGGCATGACATTCAAGGCCCTGACTTACCTATTTGGACTTATATTCAGCCTTTTTTTAATATATTTTTATATTATGCCTATTGATATATCTGTAAAAGGTTGCTTTTGGCCTGGAATGCTCTTCTTCCCACCAAATAACTAATTTTTCAAGGCCCTGCTCCAATATGCCTTTGCTGTGAAATCTTCTCCTATCCTTCACAGATACACACACACACACATACACAGAGGAAATGCTTCCTCTGCTAAGTTCCTGTAAGAACTATGGCACTTATAGGGTTATCGCAGTAATAATAATATAATAATAATAATGATACCTAACATTTTGCTGAGCACTTACCTACACTAGGCACAGTTATAAGCAATTTGTATTATTTCATTTAATACTGAAAACAACTCTAAGAGGTAGGTACTATCATAAGTACTTACATGGCATTTTTTAGCTACAATCAACTTCACAAAGGCAGGATGGTGTCTTAAAAACCTTGCTAATTCCCAGAACCTAGCAAAATGTCTACAATGTCATATGCCCTTAATACAAGATTGCTAAATAATGAATTCTGACAGTAGTTCCTTGTCCTCTGACTTTATTTTGAGAATGGCAATTCCAGTCAGTTAAAAAAACAGACAGTAGTTTAAAAGTGATTATACAAATTTAATCTTAAAGTGATGCAGTCTTTTCTAAGTACAATGAGAAACTAAGAGTCATAAAGGAAAAGGGTGATACACTATACCTGGCTATATAAAAATTAAAAACATTTGTACATCAATAAAGCGAAGTTGAAAAAGACAAACTAAAAATGGAAAAAAAAAATTCAACCTACATCAGACAAAGGATTAATAATAATATATGAAAGGCTCTGATAAATAAAAAAAGATAATCAGCCCACTAGAAAAATAGGAAGATCACATGAACAAGAAACTTCCAGAAAAAGAAATTAAATGGTTAGTAAACATGAAAATATGCGCTCAACCTCATTAATTTCAAAAAGTGAAAATTAAAACAACAATGGGAATCATTTATTTATTTATCCATCTATCCTATCATATTGTAAAGATGAAAAAAGAATTATAATATTCAGCACTGGTGAGGCTGTGGGAAAATAAGCACTCATTTACACTCATGCCACAAAAATGCTCTCCTACACTTAAAAGATATATGCACAAGGTTGTTCACTGTAGTATTGTTTGTAACAGAAAAAGATTGGAAATGACTGAAATGTACATCAATAGAAGATTGGTTAAATAAACTATACCATGGTTTGGTACAACTATACCATGAAATTGTATGCAGCCACTGAAAAGAATGATATAACTGGGTAACCAATTAACAAATGAGTGTAATTTTCATTTCATAGATGTATTCCAGTTAATCAAAAATCCAGTTATAAAAAGGGGAAAGAATTTGAACACACACTTCATCAAAGAGGATATAAGGTTGGCAAATAAGCACATGAAATGTCATTCAACACATTAGCCATTTAGGAAATTAAACTGAAACCATGATGAAATAACACTACATTCCTATTAGGATGACTAAAATAAAAATTATGGAAAATATCAAGAGCTGTCAAGGACGTGGAGCAAGTGGAACTCTCATACACAGCTAGTTCAGATGCAAAACGGTACAGGCAAATGGAAAATGGTTTGGCAGTTTCTTGTAAAGTTAAACATACATTTAGCATATGACCTGGTGATCCTACTCCTGGGTATACTAATCAGCAAGAAAAGGGAATGGACAACTTGGGTAAATCACCAAGTTAAGTGAAAGATGTCAGCCTCAAAAGGTGACATACTATGTGACTCCATGTACATATCACATCATCCAAAAAAAAAAAAAAAAACTATAGGGACAGAGAAAAGGTCACTAGTAAAGGCGTAGGTAGCAAGAGGTAATTCTTTAGAGGGTTGAACTGTTCTGTATCCTGTCAGTGGTTGTAGTTACAAGAATTTAGGCATGTGTTAAAACTCATAGGATGGTGTGCCAGAAAATAAAGGAATTTTACTGTACATAAATAAAAATAATTTTTAAAAAGATAAATTATCATCAGCAGTAATGATACCTTCTACTTCTCGGTCTAAGGGAGGAACATCATCTCTCATGGAGAAATCCATAGCTGTCGCTGGTATGTCCATCAAGTCTTCATCACTGGAGCTGCTCCGGAAGCTACTAAAACTCCCCTGCCGAAAGCCTCTGTTATCCATGGCTCCTGTACAGAAAGAAAAATAAGAAGCTTATGACAATGACCTCCAAGTCCCTTACCACTTCTGTTTTTTTTATTGTGGTAAAGATATATAACATAAAATTTACCACTTGAACCATTTCAGAGTATACAATTCAGTATCACTGAGTACATTTACAATGCTGTACAACCATCACCACTATCCATTTTCAGAACTTTTTCATCATCCCACACAAAACCTCTATACCCAGTAAATAATAACTCCCCACCTCCCGACCCCTGGTAACTTCTATTTTACTTTCTGTCTCTATAAGTTTTCTGACTCTGGATATTTCATATAAAAGGAATAACACAATATGTGGCCTTTTGTGTATGGTTTCTTTCATTTAGCATAATGTTTTCAACGTTCATCCATGTTATGGCATGTATCAGTACTTCATTCATTTTTATGGCTAAATAATATTCCATTGTGCAGATAGACCACATTTTTGTTTATTCATTCATCAGTTGATGAACATTTGGGTAATTTTTTCCTTTTGGATTGCCACTTATTCTTATGTCTTCTTTCATGTTCTCACTTTGACAATACAGACATGTAAACTACTTAATATATTTAGTTACTCTCTAGATGTAATAGATCTCTAGCCTTACCATGTAGTTGAAAACAGTTTTTGAAAACCATTAAAATGAGCATAAAACCAAATGAGGGCATGTGTACAAATATAATGGGAGTTCACAAGTAATCAATTGAAATAAAAGCTAGACATCAGTATTCAGAAACGTGCTGGCCATTTGGGAATGGAAAAAACATCACCTTATGCCTCTGACTCTCCCAGAGCTCCTAATACAACGTAGATGTACAGAAATACTGGGTGACTGACACATTGAAAAAGAGGCATACTATGCCATTCAATTTGCTCTCTGCTCAAGAATTTAATATAGAAAATGAAAAATTTTCTACATCAAGTATAAATCTTCAGATTATAAATTTTACTAAAAAAACAGTATACTGATTAAGAAAAAAAACAGTATTATGGTCTTCACTTTGCCACCCCCCCCCATAGA